AAGACTTGGGACAATTATTAACTAGGGTGGAGGAAATAGAGGAGAAGGTTCATGCCCAAGATCAGGCCATCCCTAAATTAGAGAAGTGGATAATGGAAGATAGAAAAGAACAAAAGAGATTGCTTTATATGATGGAAGAACAACAAAATAGAGAAAGGAGAAATAATCTTAGAGTAAGAGGATCCCGGAACTGACACAGGGAGAAGATTTAAAAGAACTAACTGCCAAAATTCTGATCTTTATAATGGATAAATCGGAGGAGGAGATGCTTAAATTGGATGAAGTATACAGGATTTGGGCATAGTATCAACAAGAAAAAGGGGTAGAAAAACCAAGGGATATAATTGTTAAACTTCATAACTACAGAGATAGAGAAGAAATATGGAAAAAGATTAAAGGAAGAACAAATATTATATATGAAGGAAAAAGTATCCAAATTTTTTGCAGATTTAACAGCAGAGACTCTGAGAAGGAAGAGATCACTGAAACCCCTTCTAGAAGTGATGAGAAAACATAATGTGAAAATACAGAGTGGGGCCGGGACACAAGTTTAATTGGGTGGAGGGATGTGAACTACAGCAAATACTGAGATTCCCGGGAAGATATGGAAGAAATTTTGTGATAAATTGGGACTGCAGAGACAAGAGATTCCTGAATGGGATGTGGGGGCGGGAGGTGCTGGACAGTGGTGGGTCAAGAAAGTGGCAGCTGGTCGAAAGAGGAAATAAGAGAAATAATAGATAAGGGGGTTACCGGGGAGGAGGGGGGGAAGGTGAGCGGTCATTGTCAGAGTCGAACCCTAATAGAGGGATCAGAGGTGGATAATGATCCGAGGGGCGAACAGGAGGCCTGGGGGGGATGGGGAGAGGGGAGGTTGGGTAGGACGGAGATTTCAGGGGGGGAGGGATAGGGAGGATGGGTTTTTAGGGGTAACACTCTGTATAATTGGGCGAGAAGAGATAGGAAAAGAGAGAAAGGATAAGACATGAAAGATGGACGATATCCGATTTGTAACTTATAATGTAAAGGGATTGAAATTGTCCATGGGAAGAGATTTTAAATTACTTAAGGAGCTACAGTATAGGGAGGCTTCGGTGGTATTCCTGCAGGAGACACACCTAGAGATTAAGTCAAGAAATAAAGTTGTACTCTAGAAGTTACCCTACATGGTTCTATGCGGATTCCCCTAATCAAGAGAGCTAAGGAGTAGCAATAGGATTTGAAAAAAATGTAAGGCTGGAGATAGATGAGAGAGAGGTTTGATCCTGAGGGAAGATTTCTGTTTTTTTAAAAGGGTAGATTACAAGAGCAAGAATGTTTACAATTTTGTAAATATCTACTGCCCAAATAAAAAGACCAGAAGTTTTTCCTGAAGGGTTGTCCTGAGAAAAACTGATGGCCTTTTAAGAAAGGACGGTTTGATAGTGGCAGGTGATCTGAATTTTTGTATGGACCCACAAATGGATACGACATGCTTCTGTGCAAAGAGATGGAGGTAGAGCTCTGAGAATCCTGAAGAGGGCCATCCCAGGAGTGTCGAAACTGGTGGATATTTGGAGAGTGATTCATGGAAGGGAGAGAGATTATACCTTCTTCTCCAAAGCACACGAGATGTACTCCAGATTGGATTATATATTAGTAGATCATCATCTTATAGATTTGGTGGAAAAAGTAGAAATTGAGGCGCATGTCTTTTTCGGATCACGCCCCTGTTTCATTGAAAATGAGGTGGAGAAGACGTTTGACAGGAGGGATAGGTTGGAAGCTGAATGAGGCTCTCCTCCTGGATCAGGTAGTGGATCGAAAAATTAGAGAGGAGATTGAAAGATATTTTTCGAGAGAAATGAGACAGGGGAGGTATCGTTGGCTACAGTGTGGGAGTTTTTTTTTTTTTTTTTTTGGAGTCCCATAAGGCTTATATAAGAGGTATCCTGATTGCGTCTGGGGCAAAAAGAGAAAGGGAAAGAAGAAGAGAAAAAGTTACTGGGCTGTTAAAAGAAATAGCTGAGTTAGAGCAAAATACATAAAAATAAAAGATCAGAAAAGAATAAAACAGAAGGTGATAAAAAAGAAAGAAGAACTAAGAGCTTTTGCTGGAGGAGGAGAAGATAAGAGTGTTTAATAAAGTTGCAAGTGAATAGATATAAATGGGGGAATAAAACCAGGAAAATATTTAATGAGAGCTTTGAGGAAAAAAAAAAAAAAATAGAAATTATATTGAGAAAAATAAAAAACCCCAAGGGGGAAATGGTTTTACTCTACTAAAGAGATTATCGAGGTGTTTAAAGAATATATACAGCAAGCTATATAATATCGCCTCCCAAGACCCAGTAAATATAAATATAAATGGAAATGAGAGAAGAGAGAAAGGAAGGGAAAAATATTTAAAAAATGCAGGTTTACCGAAGTTAAAGTATGATCAACTGAATTCCCTTGACTTGGAAATCACACAGGAAGAAATAATAAGATCATTAAAGGACACTCCGATGGGTAAAAAGCCCGGGCCCAGATTGGATATACAGTGAGATACACAAAAAAATACAGTGACCTGTTAATACCCAAACTGAAGAGATATATGAATGCCCTGGGAGGAGACAATGGAGATGAGAAAGGAATCGTTTACAGGCCCATGTGGGTGCTGATACAAAAGGAAGAGAAGGATCCCTCTCAGTGCTCTAGCTTTAGACCGATAATCACTTTTGAATATAGACATCAAGCTCTCTAGCTAAGGTCCTAGCAAATAGACTAAAAAAATCTCATGCCAGAATGGGATTCAGGGGGACCAGGGTGGGTTTTGTCCCGGGGAGGGAGGGCAGTAGATAATGGCCTAAGAACTCTGTTGCTTATCCAAAAAGCTAGAAAGGGGAAAACCCCGGTAATAGTACTAAACTTCGATCGATGCTGAGAAGGCATTCGATAGAGTAGATTGGAGTTTTATGATGGAATACCCTGGAAACCCTAGGAATAGGAGTAAGAATGAGAGAATGGATAGGAAAGCTGTATAGAGAGCCCTCAGCGATAGTAATGGTTAATGGGAGAGAGGTCGGAACCTATCAGAATGTCAAATGGAACTAGACAGTGGATGTCCATTATCTCCATTGTTGTATATATTGGCATTGGAACCATTATTGGCAACTATCAGGAAGAACTTAGATATAAAAGGAGTGCAGATTGGGGAAGTCGAAACATAAAGTAGCTGCCTATGCGGATGATCTTTTGTTTTATGTGGGAAAAAATCCTAGGAATAACACTCCCCAATTCTATGAAGAGCTTTAAAAGAGTATGGGGAGTTGTCAAACTTGAAAATTAACCCAACTAAAACTGAGATCTTGAATGTAAACCTTTCAAATAGTGAAAAAGAAAATATATACAAAAAGAATTTCCCCTTTATATGGAAAAATTAAAGAGATAAAGTATTTGGGAGTGAAACTTTCTGCCTCATATAGAAAACCTGTATAGAAATTAAATTATATCCCACTCTTAAATGAGATTAAGAAGGAACTTAGGAGATTCGAAGGAGGTAACCCATCCTGGATATGCCGTATAAACCTGATAAAAAATGATAATTTGTACCAAAAAATCCTCTATAAAATTTCAGATGATGTCCAATCAAATTCCGGAGGAGGCCTTTTTTAAAGTAATAAAAAAAATGTTTGACAAAATATATTATGGAAAAATAAAAAACCCAGATAACATATGACTTGTTAAATAGAAATAAAGAGAGAGGAGGACTGGGAGTGCCAAGATATTAAAAGGTACTATAAAGCAGTAGTTTTTTAACAAGAATTTATGATTGGACACATTAATTATGAGGGGAAAAAGTGGTTCAGATTGAGAATGAACTAAGCGGAGTTTTACCCTGAAGAGAACTATTTGGGCACCAGCACAACATAGAGGGTTAAGGGATACCACTAGTGTTTTTACATTGAATGTTTTTAATGTCTGGGATAAATTGCATAAAATTATGAAATGGGATTTTAACTCACAATTAATACCACTGAGGAATACGGATTTATTTTTCCCCCAGGCAAGGAGGAAAGTATAGGGAAATGGATTAGAAAAAAAGATATCCAACTGAGAGAACATAATGGATGGACAAGAATTGAGAACACACTTGGTGTGATTTGAAAGGGGATAAAAAAAGGAACTTTTTTATTAAAATATAGATGAATTGGAAAATATTAATCAATTAAAACACATTTGTCAGTAACCTCCCAAGGATCCGTTCAGATCGAGAGAGGATTGGAACGGCTTTGAGAGGTTGTTAGAAACGAAACGAGGTGTGATGGGAGCGAGGCACCGCAAAAATTTATAAAATCCTCACTGATTAGACACTTACACAAAACCAATGTATATAGGTAAATTGGGAAAGAGATTTGGAATAGAGATTGACGAGGATAAGCAAAGAAAAATTACAGATTATTCTAAACACGAGAATATAAGTATGAGGGAGGTGGAGGTAAATTACAAGTGTTTAACGAGATGGCACATCACACCGAACATTGAGTATAAGATATGTGTGGGGAAAATTCACTAGAGTGCTGGAGGGGATGTGGAAAAGTAGGCACTTTATATCATATATGGTGGGAATGCCCAAAAATTCAAGGTTTTTCTGAGCATAGAGATGATCGTTCAATTAATTGAGAATATCACTGGGATAAAGATAGGATTGAACCCAGCAGTATGTCTCCTACATAGTACAGAGCTATCAGTAAATAACTACAAGGATTTCGGTATATGGGTGCTATCTAAATGCGGCGAAGGGGTTGATACCTAAGTTTTGGCATAGACCAGAGGTGCCCGAAGGTAGAGGATTGGTGTGGAAAGAACTAATCAGATTTATAAGATGGAGAGACTGTGCTATATGCAGGAAGACAGGATGGGGTTGTTCTATAAGAGGTGGAGAGGAACATGGGAAGAATTTATGGTGAAATATATGAAGTAACCACGTGAGAAAGATAGAAGGATTCGTACCCTATATTCGTGTATGAAGTGGGATAACACTATTATGCAGAGTGGGTGGGTTTATTTTGAGGGAGGGAGGTGGTGTTTATCTTTTTTTTTTTTTTTTTTTTTTTTTTTTTTTTTTTTTTTTTTTTTGGGTGGGGGGGTAATTAGATAGTTCGGGGGGCGGTAATTGGGAATAAAGATTGATAGTAAATGTTATTAAAGGTATGCAAATTTGTTTGTATGAGAACAAGAATGAAATGTGCAATATATGGAAAATAAATAAAAATTTAAATAAAAAAAAAAAAAAAAAAAAAAAAAAAAAAAAAAAAAAAAAAAAAAAGATATAGTGAATGCGGGGTCCTGGGAGACCAGATATAGTGAATGCAGGCTCCGTGGAGACCAGATATAGTGAATGCAGGGTCCAGGGAGACCAGATATAGTGAATGCAGGGTCCTGGAGACCGGATATAGTGAATGCAGGGTCCTGGGAGACCAGATCTAGTGAATGAAGGGTCCGGGGAGACCAGATATAGTGAATGCAGGCTCCGTGGAGACCAGATATAGTGAATGCAGAGTCCTGTGGAGACCAGATATAGAGAATGCAGGGTCCTGGAAGACCAGATCTAGTGAATGCAGGGCCCTGGGAGATCAGATATAGTGAATGCAGGCTCTGTGGAGATCAGATATAGTGAATGCAGGCTCCGTGGAGACCAGATATAGTGAATGCAGGGTCCGTGGAGACCAGATATAGTGAATGCAGGGTCCTGGGAGATCAGATATAGTGAATGCAGGGTCCTGGGAGACCAGATATAGTGAATGCAGGGTCCAGGGAGATCAGATATAGTGAATGCAGGGTCCGTGGAGATCAGATATAGTGAATGCAGGGTCCGTGGAGACCAGATATAGTGAATGCAGGGTCCGTGGAGACCAGATATAGTGAATGCGGGGTCCTGGGAGACCAGATATAGTGAATGCGGGGTCCTGGGAGACCAGATATAGTGAATGCAGGGTCCTGGGAGATCAGATATAGTGAATGCAGGGTCTGGGAGACTAGATATAGTTAATGACGGGTAATGGGAGATCAGATATAGAGAATGCAGGGTCCGGGAGATCAGATATAGTGAATGCGGGTAATGGGAGATCAGATATAGTGAATGCCGGGTAATGGGAGATCAGATATAGTGAATACAGGGTCCTGGGCTTAGTAACACTTTAAAATGGTTCTAAAGGCTCAAGGTTTTTTTTTTTTTTTTTACCATAGTCATATCATTCTATGCATTCTGCATGCATTTTCCCCCAGTCCCCCCCCCATACTTACCTGAGCCTGATCTCATAGGATTAAAGACAGCAGTGGGAGCCATGGGCAGGGCCAAGTAGCGCTCTGTGTGTCAGTGGACACACGAAGCACGACTTGGGAGAGAGCCCGCATGAGTGCCCCCATACCAAGCAGCTTGTTATGGGGGCACTGGCAGGAGACTGGGCTGCTCTGTGCAAAACCATTTCACAGAGCAGGTGAGTATAACATGGTTGTTATGAAAAAAAAAAAAAAATCCTTTGGTAGGTAGAAAAGCTCCCATGTATATTTTGTTCTGTGTATTTAGCTGTCTGCCTGGAGTTCTCCTTTAAATGAAGAGCAAAATAGCTTCTGATTAGTACCTATAATGTGTTTGCTTGTTCTGGTCTGATTCAATATTCAGTACCGTATACATGACTTTCATGACATAAGCAAATATACTCTTTTCTTTTTTTTCTTCAAACTTAGGGCCAGTTCACACCAGAAAGCAGAACAGGAAAGGCGCGTTTCATGCAAATTTCCCGCACTGCAGGTGAACGCGCTGCCCTTGCAAATGTATTGTTAATGGCATCCCAAATGCAGCTTGCAAACGCAGTGCATTTGCAGCCACAAAATCGCACGGTACTGCAAGCACTGCTTTTTCCCCGTGGTGCAGTGCGTTTTGCAGCCTATTCAGCCTATCAAATAAAACACACACCGCAGTTAGTCAGCAAAACAGGATGATTGTTGTACGCTGCACCTTAGCGATTAGTAGAGCCACAGGGGCCCCAAAAACAGCATCTGTTTGCATACAAGGAGGGTTATTCTTCTCTAAAATTGCAGTTCTGTTCAGGGGAACACTTTTGGTATAAATAGTGATTTCTGGAGTCCTTCTCTAATCTAACATACCTTGTGTTTCTTTCACTTGCAGTGGGGCTGTGATCTACAGACGGAGCATGAGAAATATTTGGTCCGACATTGTGGGGACGTCCCTGTATTCATCATCAACTATCCATATGACCTCAAACCTTTCTACGCTCGAGGCAATGAGGATGGGCCTCAGCGTACCATTAGAACTCAATGTGACGGATCGATCACAATCAGATTACTACAGTACTTGATTAACACATTTCATTATTTGAATTTCTTATAAAATAGAATGAGCCCTTTTGCTGCTTGGGCCCTATTTTTTTTTGCACACATTAAAATGTACACTTTGGGTCTGGAGAGTATTTAAAATTCCCGAACCTATATACACGGCTCAAAAAAATGAAATGAACACTTTGAAAACCCATCAGATCTCAATGGAGAAAAATCTCCTGCTGGATCTCTATACTGATATGGACGGGGTAATGTGTTAGGAATGTAAGGATGTCCCATTGTTTGATGGAAATAAAAATTATCAACCTACAGAGGACTAAATCCAAAGACACCCCCGAAAATCAAAGTGAAGAAATGATGCAGCAGGCTAGTCCATTTTGCTGAAATTTCATTGCACCAATCAGAATGGTCCTCAGTAATTTGTATGGCCCCCACGTCTTGTATTCATGCCTGACTACATCGGGACATGCTCCTAATGAGATAAGGGATGTGTCCTGGGGGATTTCCTCCCAGATCTGGACCAGGGCATCACTGAGCTCCTGGACAGTCTGAGGTGCAACCTGGCGGTGTCGGATGGACTGAAACATGATATCCCAGAGGTGTTCTATTGGATTTAGGTCAGGTGAGAGTGGGGGCCATTCACTGGTATCAATTCCTTCATCCTCCAGGAACTGCCTGCATACTCTCACTACATGAGGCCGGGTATTGTCATGCACCAGGAGGAACCCAGGACCCACTGCACCAGCGTAGGGTCTGACAATGGGTCCAAGGATTTCATCCGATACCTAATGGTAGTCAGGGTGCCATTGTCCAGCCTGTAGAGGTCTGTGCGTCCCTCCATGGATATACCTCCCCAGACCATCACTGACCCACCACCAAAACGGCCATGCTGAACCATGTTACAGGCAGCATAACGTTCTCCACGGCTTCTCCAGACCCTTTCACACGTCTGTCACATGTGCTCAGGGGGAACCTGCTCTCATCTGTGAAAAGCACAGGGCGCCAGTGGTGGACCTGCCAATTCTGGTGTTCAATGGAAAATGCCAATTGAGCTCTATGGTTCTGGGCAGTGAGCACAGGGACCACTAGAGGACATCGGGCCCTCAGGCCACCCTCCTCATGAAGTCTGTTGATTGTAGACCTATACAAGGCTGGACTGGGCTACCAAACTATCGCCAAGCAGCTTGCATCACCGGTCTTTTCCAGCAGTTCCCAAAGGACTGGAGGAGACCAGCAGTGCACCTGCGCAAGTGCGTTTTTTTTTTTTTTTGGTGGGTTGTTAGAAGGGTGGGGGAGGTAAGTCTCGAGCATTTTAATCCCACTTTAATAAAATAGAAATAAACAAAAAAGTTAGAAAATGGTTGAGGGGAGAAGGGAAAGAAGGAGTTAATTTGGGCTGATTTGGGTAGACTAAGGTTTAATAAGGGGTTGAATAGACAAATTTTATTTTAATAAATGTGTTTTTCCTCTTGTCAGGCTGCTTTAACTGACAGGATATGCAGATTGAAATTATGTGCGGTTACAGACATTTTACCGCATTGTAAAAAACGTCTGTCACTGCAGGCACACAAAGGAAACAATGTTTCCTATGTGTCCCATTCACACTGCAACGCAGCCTAGTGCTGCGCTAAAATGCAGACATGCTGCACTTTATCGCATCATGCTGCATGACATTGCAGTGAATGAAGTGTACATTTTGTACATTTCAAATAAAGCTTATACAGAAACCAAAAAAAAAACCGGGGGGGGGGGGGGCAGTACAATGCGCTGATTCGCGCACCACACTACCCCCTAGGGCAGCTGGCGACAGAGAGCTTTCGCAGAAGTAAAGTGCTGCAGTAGCACTCCTTACATTGTGAATCAGCCCTAACCCCCGGTTCACACATATGCGGCCGTGTTTTGCCGCGTTATGCTGGGCACGAGAGCCCATTCATTTGAATGGACTCCAGTGCCCGTGACACGCAGGGAAAGAAGTCCCTGCACTTCTTTGGAAAACGCAGCCCTCACAGGAACCTCGGTTCCCACTACGGTTACGTTTCCCAGTGCGGGCGGCGTGCCATTAGAACTAATGGCACCCGCCCACGGGTCCGCAATTCTCTGTGTGGGTGGTGCGGCTGCACGGATTTTTTCGTGCGGATCTGCAGCGGAACCACCCGCACAGATGTGAACCTAGGGTAAGACCCCGGTCATATCATTGTGACTTGTCATGGAATTTGATAGTTTCAAATCAACATGACAAGTCGCACCCTATTGTCTGCAATTGAAGCCGTCAAATTGGTGCGATTCCGACTTCATCAGAGTTGCACCGATTTTGAAATCAGTGCATGCACTACTTTTTGCAAGTTCAGGGGCAACTTGCATAGCCACATGTGCCTATGCAAGTCGCACAGATGTCTTGCAAGTTGCACCTGAAGTCGCACTGACATCCAACTTTGAAATCGTGCGACTTTAAGTGAAGTTGCACGATTTCAAAGTCTGATTCGGTGTGACCGAGCACTAAAATGTAGTAGGTACAAAAGTAATACTGTTACATTGTATCTGTCTTATGTATGAATGTGAATTAGGGACTTTAGATTGTACACCCCTAGAGGGTTAGGGACTGATGTGAATGTACAATATATATGTAAAGCGCTGCGTAAATTGACAGCGCTATATAAGTACCTGAAATAAATAAATAAATCTGTCTATTTTGCATCTGAGCAATGTTGATAAACGGACAGCTTTTTTTCTTTTCATTTTTAGAACCTAGAATGGCTAGCAATTGGAAGGGGGCAGAGGGATAGAAGGACTGGATGTGCTACACATGTCCTGTGTACTTTGATGATGGTTTTTTTATGGGCATGTGCAGCACGTCCAGTGTCTTCAGCTAGTTGATATATCTTAACTACTTCATCTTTCACACCTGTTCACCCCCTATGGAGAAGAGCAATTTTTATATCTCTGTTATGGACCTGTTCATTCGGCAATACCTTTTATCATTACTTAAGATGTGATAACAAATATAAAATAAATAGTGATCCCCATGTTATTACTGTGCTCAAACAAAAAAGTATCAAAAATAATAAAAGGAAAGCAAATAAAAAAAAATAGAGAAAAAATGTGAAAATAGAAAACAGTTTTGCAATTGCAGAGCTGCTACAACCTGGCAGTGCAATCAGCACACATGTGAACATCATATTAACTAACGCAGCAACGCGCTCTACTATATCATCGATAACCACAATAGAAAAATACATTTAGACATCAACACTAAACAATTATGTATAAATGTCCAATTCGTAATTAAGTCCCATACACAGTCCAATATATACGTGATTTATATTCAGGGAAAAAAAATCGATAATATTCTCCGTGTTCACAACAAGAAACTCTTCACCAAATTCTTGCACCGGTATACCCTCCACCGTCCCCAATTAGGTGTCTCCTTTCCTGGTGAGATAGACCTCCCTGCCAAACAGCCCTTATAATATCAGACCGCATACAGGTTCCCGCACTCCAGTCCCCCATATGCAGCAAAAAGCAGAAGAGTTTCTTGTGGTTGGACACAGCATGAATTTGGCAACTGGTTTCAGCCAATGGTTCCAGCTAAAATCAGTTGATCAACTGTGTCCAATCACACACAGGGTTCTGTGTTTACT